AAGCTGAAACTGCCAAACTGCAATGTTACCATTTTCAAAGAGCACTGCTAGAAGCACGCTACCAACGTCTCGGCATTCGTTGTTATGTTTCACCTGCTGGGTGGTGCAGATACCTGACCACTCCATACGCACTGGAGTCTGCATGCTGTGCCTTCTCTGAAATTCAGAGAAGTCCCCTAGATCTCCTCGGGGTGCCTCGGTCTTAGAAATTCTGTACTTGCTTTCACAAAGACGCTCCCCATAAACTTCTGTCAGATCAACTAGCTGCACCCACTGCAGTCTGTTGAGGTTAGCATGAATAGTTAGTCTATTGTCCATCGTTAAAGCTGCTAGTAGACATCTTCCATTAGCGTCACAGCCCAAAGGAGACCAGCTTGAATATTTGAATCCTCGCATTGATGTTAGTGACTTTCCTTCAGGGTTGAATACTCTATCTAGCATAAACGTTTGACTAACTGTTGGATCCTTCGAGCTGGCAAACTTTTCCTTACATTCTGCAACCTCCTTTTTGGGACCAACCTGAAAGAAAGTATGTATTTCTATAAAAACATTTCAATACTGTCAATGCACACAACTTAATAACTCTGTATCTTCTGTCCATTAGGGAACACTGGAAGAATTGAAGAATATATGCTGCATAAAAGGCTCAGATCTGAACGTCAGTCATTCTCTAGTACTCGGTGTCACCCTTCACAGGATAAATGAACTCTGTAGCTAGAGAAGTTTGTGGAGACAATTCTTTAATCTAACCCGTCCTTTGCATCCCATTCTCTCTACAAATGACAAACAAGTCTCCAAACTAGTTTGTTTTGGGGCACCACTTGACAGAATTTGTAGGAAAAATTGCATGAAGTTTAAATGACCTTCACTTCTGGTTTGGAAAAATCATGCTCCTAGTCTGCAGGGCCTATTATCCAATGATCGCTTTCTTCTAGCGTATTAAGTAAAAGCCCTGCATAAATAAAGTGTTTTCATACTGGCAGGACCTGAAATTTCTATTACTGCAAGGAAGCAGTAATCAGTGGACTTCTGTATGACACTTCCTGTTCCAGTCTGACACAGGCCAATGCTTACAACAGTTTTCTAAAATGTTCTGAGCTATAAAACCAAAAGATTAATGTAAAAACTTTACTTCATTCATCTCTTCCCCTTTAGTCCCTCAGTTTTTATGTAGCTGTTATGTAGCTGGCTCTTTATATGCTTAACACAATATATTTTATTTAATACATGAAACCCATCTTATTAAAGCAGCCAAATAGAGTTACATTTTGTGATGTAAAATTCTCTTGGCATCTTGCAGAGCAGCTGATCACATTAAAATATTGCTGGGCCTGGTAACCGAAGTACTCTTGATTAACCACAAAACAGGTCAAGCAGCAGAGGTGCAAGCTTCTTGACACTGTTCTGCCAATGTGCCTTAACCATGATCTGAGAATCAGTCACAATCCGTCAAAACCAGACTGAGACTTCAGGCATCTTTTAATTCTTGCTCTCTTGTGAAAAGGCACCAGTACAGACAATAACACTACTTGAAAAACAGGTAACTGGTTATAACTTGGCCACCTATAACCATGTATAGCACTTTTAGCATTTTCCGGATAAAACTTCATGGTACCATTGTCATTTTATATAGCTTGGCAACTTGGCTAAATTCTTGTTTGCTCTACAGTAGAGCAATTAGTTTGCTGTACAGTAAGTCTTCTTCTAAAAGATTCATCCCATTTTAGAAGTAATTAAGTGTACCAAAGACTTTTACCCTCGCTGCTGAACTCTTATCCCTTGTTACTCTGAGTTTACCAGACACTGTGTCTTGCTATATAGTTGTCTGCTACATTCAAGAGACCGTTTTCAAAATCTCCTTCCCTAAGCAGGTACTTAAAGGGTATTTGTTACAAATGAACTGGTTGAGATGCTCAACTATACTGAGCCATCTAACTTAACGTATCCAAATTATTCCTGCTGGTAGCCATCCTGCCAGAGATGACACTACTGGCAAAGAACAACTCAGACCTGCTGTATTCTTAATAGTATATATTCCCTTAATACCCAGAAACACCCCATCGGGACGAATGGCCAGCTGTACAAGAATCTATACAGCCATCTCTGCCTTGCATATTAATCTGCTTTAACAATACTGTAGCTGCATTTGAGTTTATTCCACACTATTTCAGTCCAAACATTAGAAACTTCTATAGTCGTCATTTCAAGAACCAGACAGAATTTTACCATCTGTTCCACTTGTGCATTTTTTGACTAACCAAGTTAAACACATCTAAGGTCTTGTTGACTTTGTGCGTTTTTGCCATAGCTACATGCACGCCATGGAGAAGAGAGATCTGTTGTGCTGGTTTTCCTTCATTAGACACAAGTCAAATAGATTTTTGGGGGATAAAAAAAGTTCAAGACGCAACCAAAGAAGTTTTTAATAGCTGTTTTGTGGATTAAAAAATCTAAGCAAGTTCAAGAAGCAACTAAAGATACGTTAAATAGATTTTTGGGGGATAAAAAAAACTAAGAAAGTTCAAGAAGCAACTAACGAAGATGCTTTTTTATTAGCAGGAACATTGCGACATTCTCCCGCGCTGCATTGCCCCGCCATGCCACGCTGACCTCGACCCGTCGGACATCAAGTGTCAACAGAGGACAGGAATCGAGACTCACGGTCACGAGGGGCCATATGACGCTTAGGCAGGGCAGACCCCTGGGGGCCAAATGGTGTTTTTTTTAAAGATCCCCAGGGCAGGCACTTGCACCACGGGTGGGAGCCTGTCAGAGCCAGTCAAGTTTGTCCTCACGACTTCAAAGGGGATCAGAAAAGATCCAGCGGGGTCTAAAAAGTGCTCAGGTAAGAAAAGGAAGTGCCCAGGCACGGTGGTGGAGAGAAGCTCCGGGGAGGGGGCGGGGGGTAAGCGTCCACACGGGGCCGGGCCGGGGCGGAGGTGGCGCTGGGCCCGGGGAAGGGCGGCGGGCGCTCACCTTGAGCAGACAGGCGGCGGGCGGCGCCGGCACGGCAGTGCGGTGGATGACCATGTCGTGGCCGCCGCGGTGCACATCGCTGAGCTGCTCCAGCACGGCGATACTGCGCGCCGTGCTCACCGACACCCGGTGGTCCTCGGACCAGGCCAGCGGCTCCAGCCCGCTCGCGCCGTGCTGCAGCCGCAC